TATTACTATTCTTGACTAATTCCAGGCTTCCATATGCAGCAATTTTTTCGACAGTAGATATCAACTTGTTTGGCCATTTTAAGTTTTTTTTTTATGTCTGTGTTCTGATGGTGGTTTGTCAATTTCCTGATATTCCCTATATTGAAATCTGCTAAATGCTAGTAGGCAGATCACTGATGTCGGTTGGTAAGTTTTTGTTGTCTTGTATGTGTCATGTTATCTGTAACATGTCAAACGTTATTTGTTATGAGTGCACATCGGATATATTCCTCTGATTAGGTATTGCCTCTCCACCCTGTATTTTATAATGATCGACTCAAAGATTTTTTTCAATGCTTACTGTAGGTATATGATATGGTATGTATACGTCAACGTCTGTTCTACTAGAAGTGACTCATACATGACCAATTATTATGTTAGTTGGTTCATGTAATTTTCATCCTTAGATCCGTTCTGTATATATTTTTCTCATCAAACTCGCTCACTGGCTAATACGTTAACACAGTTGTGTATGGTTGGGTACTTGTATATTCCAGTAGAACAACACTGTTATTGGTCGGTGCCTGATTTTGATTTTCTGTTATCAGAAAGCGAGCATCTTGGGTAGAAATTGTGTGGTATAGTTCGATATGAGACTGGCATCATTCAGTTAGTCGAAGACCTGCTGCTTCAATAAGCATATAATATCTATTAATCTCCTATTACGAAGATCCTTCTGAGTTATCTTAACAATCTTCGTGATGATATAAAGAGTATTTTTTTATTTATTTATTTTTCATCTCTTGGTGTGCACGAAAGGGAATTCCTATGATGTTCGTCACGTGCATACCCTAGGTGAATAGGGAGGGAAGGTAGGTGTTGTTCGACATATTTCAAGGTTAACGACGAAAGGATATGCTGACTGGGTCTGTCGAGGTCGTCTGATTGGTATTGGCTAGTGATGGAATTATAGCAGAGATTCCTGAGGAACAATTCCCGTGGAACTATCTATCATTTTTCAACGATTTTGAACTTTTTTCCAACGTTTTCGTGGCGGTTCTGTGACGTTTTCGTAACGTTTCTGGACTCAGGTTGTTTCTATTCACCCTGCATATGTCTTTCCGATCTTCCATTTAACTCGGGTTATTTGTATCATATATCTATCAAACGTCATCTGCCATACGTCTGTTGTACCTGGGCGTTTGCTTTCATGTCTTTTCGATCTTCCATTCAACTCGGATTATTTATATCATATATCTATCAAACGACATCTGCCATACGTCTGTTGTACCTGAGCGTTTGCTTTCGGCGAGGTTTAAAGCACCGGGAGTACCATAAATGGCATACGGTATCTGTTATATATTTGCATAGAGGTATGTTCAATCTGATGAGCATATAGCGTGTTCGGATGATTTTCAACATTTTTCAACGTTTTCGTCGCGTTTCTGTGACGTTTTTGTAACGTTTTTTCGATTCAAATTTTTTTTTTCTATTCATCCAGCATATTTCTTTTCGATCTTTCATTTGACTCTGGCTACTTGTATCACCCTAAATATCATTATTCAAATTCTTTTATTATCATCTGTCATCTGCCTTACGCCATCTGCCTTACGACTGTTATACTCCATCGTTTGCTTTCGGCTAGGTTAGAAGCACCGGAAGTATCAGCAAAAGAAGATGGTCTCTGATTGGTCGGCTGAGTCACGTTTTTTAACCCGGAAGGTGGAGGAGTGGAGATGGTCCATAGATTTTGTGAGCAATCCGTTCCGTATATATTTTTATAACAAAAAAGCGTATGCTTTCGGTGAGGGTCAAAAAGGTATACGTCATCTAACAAACGTCATCTATCAAACGTTATCTGACATATGTCATATGTCAAACGTCATCTATCATTCGACGAGGATAAGAGCACCATAAGTATAATGGGACAGTAAACAATATCATGGTCGTTTGATTTCAGTGAGGTTAGAATCACCAGGATGTGAGCTTTTGAGCAAATTCGACAGGATGTAAGCATGAACCGCACTTTCAGACACACCCTGTATACCTCTGAAGTTTTTCCATTCTTGAATGGCTCGTGACGTCATCAGCCACCTGCTAACAAAATGAGGTTTCAATATTGATGATATCTCTCAGCGAGAACAAAGGAGGCATTGTTGGATGACTCATCGGTCACCTGCGTCAGAACAATGGACCCATTGTTCTCTCGGAATTCCAGGAGAAGGTTAGTGGCTGGGCCTTGAGAGAACAAAGGCGGCATTGTTCTAGAGGAAGTCTAGATAACATATGGCAAACAAAGGAGGCATTGTTCTACGAAGTCGAGATAAGGATGACTCATTGAGCACCTGCAACATGCATATCAGGTGACCTTGAAACAAAGTGCTACCAATTGTAGTAATACCAACCTAAATCTGGTGAGCAAAGTCACTGGATTGTGACGTCATCCACCACCTTTCAAAAAGAAGAAGAAAAATGGATATGTCCTAGAACACGCCCATAAGCAGGGCCTGATTAACCATTAAGCTGATTAGGCTGCAGCCTAGGGCGCGAAGATCGGGGGGGGGAAGGCGCAAGACGCTCTAACATCGTGTCTTCGCATGCACTAATCTAGCATCATTGCATCTACCCTACATATTTCAACTAGACCGAGACAAAACAATAAAACTAAATGCGCTTGATAGTCCCTGATTTTAACGATGAATTTTGAAATTTTAAAAAGCGCGCGTAAAACAAACACTTGTCACCCGAATCGGTTGGTGGCGAGCGAGTGAGTGAGCTGGCAATAGCGCAGCTCGCCGCGCGCGATGACACAACGACGTGCTGGGACTCCCCGGTGGTTTAAGTATACTTTGTTACTTTGCCGAATTGCCTCGCTGCATTCATTTCATTTGCATTTGCCTTCTCTTTCGAAATCATCTAATGGTTCGTCCGTTGTCCGTTATATCACGCGCTCACATATATTCGTTTTTGGTAATTGACATTTATTGTCCTTTCCTTAGTGTTTTCGTGTTTTTTCAAGACTATGAGTGGTAATGAGAGTAGTTCGATTGTTAAGAGGCCAAGTGGAGCAGAATACAGAAAAAAAAGCAAAAGAAAAGGAAAAGAAGATAGAAAACATTTTAAAACATACTCGTGAACTAGAATCATTTCCCACCAGCTCTGCAGAAAGGAACGAAACGGTGACGAATTCTGCACTATCGGCAGCGATTTCTTGCCCTGGTCCCTCAACCGCGGACTGTTCTTACGTTTCTGCGTCCAACACTAGCCGTAAAGTATCGACGATGCCGACGATCTACAATGAGGATGGAATTCTAATAGAATAAAAGCCGTCCATTTCGTCAAGTAGTGACCCTGCTCTGTGGAAAGTAAATGATTTTTGAGATTATATTGTTGAAAATGGACTGCAACAAAAGGAAGAATCAGATTTTTCCAGATCAGAAAAGCAGTATAAAAATCAAAAAAGATATCTATCTGAAGATATGTTTGAGAAAAAAAGTTGATGGAGAAACTGTGAAGAGAAGCTGTTTAGTATACTCAGAATCCACAGGTCACGTGTTTTGTGGTCCTTGCAAATTATACGGAGGAACATCCGTATTTACCAAAAGTGGATTTAATGACTAGAAAAATTCTTTGGGACAATATGTATGTAGAGGTAAACTTTTACAAGGATTGGATACCCAAATAGTCAAACAATATAATGTAGAAATAACTTATTGGCGGAATGTATTACTACGGGTAATAGAAATAGTCAAGTTTTTGGCTTCTCGTGGGCTTCCATTTTACGGTCAAAATGAAATAATTGGACTAAACGAAAATTTTCTTTGCTGTATCGAGCTTATTTCTAAATTTGATCCTTTCATGGCTGAACATTTGGTGAGATTTGGACAAAAAGGAAAAGGTTCTCCATCGTACTTGTCATCCTCTATAATCGATGAATTTATTTTACTTATCGCTGACGAAGTTCCACTCTGTATTACAGGAGAAATTGAAAAAGCAAAATATTATTCAATTAGCATTGATTCTACTCTCGCTGATGTACATAGAAAGTGATATACTACAAACTATCGAATTTGAAAAAATTGTGGAGAGATTTGCAAACGCTAAAGCAAGAAGAGAGACCCTATTATAAGCAAATAATAATTACTCAATTATTATAATTTTCAAATAAAACATATATCAGTTTCAGAAATGTTTCACTTGTATGATACCTCTCGTCTCTAAGATCACAGAAATGTAAATATATGAAAAATACTTCAAGTCGAAAACTTTCATAGGTAGTATGAACCATGTCAAAATTTTCACACTAGTAAACAAAGTCAAGACTAATATACTACTTTTTAGGCCGACCGTAATACTCATGGCGGGGGCGCGTCCTCATAATTAACCTAGGGCGGTCAGAACTCGTAATCAGGGCCTGCCCATAAGCTCTAGAGTCTAGAGTCTAGAGGGCTGAGTTCAGTGTACTTCCACGTGTCATCTGTCACTTCTTGTGTTCCATGTCATCTGTCACTCCTTGTGTTCCGTGCTCCATGCCATCTGTCAATTGTCATCTGTCACGTGTCACTTCCGGCGGCCATCTTGTGACGTCACTACCGTGCAGTCAACACCTTTCACCACAGGAACGATCTTGTGACGTCACTCCCGGCGGCGGCCATCTTGTGTTCGTGCGTACGATACTGACAGGCCATGGAAAGGGTTCTCGACTCAGATACAAAGTAGGATGTGGCTGCAGCCAAAAAAACACGTTTCGACTTGAAACCGGATATCGAAGACAAAGTCTTGAGGTTTGCCTCATATACCTTTCCATGCTTTAATATTCGGCAATTCTAAACCTGACTTATCCAACATTGCGGAAGCTACTCAGGTCATGAACATAGTATTTACGACCTACTCACTGATAAGGCAATCTAGCCAGAAAATCGTTGAAACATTAGGAGCTAAGATAGGGCAAAGAACACCTACAGTCAAAGGTGGGAGGGGGGGGGGACCTCATAGCTAGCAGAAGTGAGTTAGAAGCAGCAATGAAAGAAATCGCCAAAAATTGTGGTCCGGCCTTTAGCGACACGAAAACAGAGACCCCTGTAGTAGGTAAAAAATGGTACGGGTTCTCCGGGCCTTATCTTAACTTATTGACAGAGTTTAGTCTTAGGTGGAAGGAATTGAGGCTTGGCAACGCAGAGTTTCCATTCACAAAGGAGAACAATATAAGCAAGTCCTATTCCATACAGAAATTCGGTTTGACTAGGGCCCACTACGTCTCACCAGAGGGGATTCGGTTCCCGCCGGAAAGGAAATCATCCATGGCACAGTCACTTGGCCCTATGACGTTTGTGATGTGTTACTCATTGGCTACATTAGCCAATGAAAATAAGTTCAAGGAGGCGGTGAAAAAATCATTGGCACACATCCCGAATGTAGAGGGAATGTTCGAGACTCTAAAAGGTGAGAATTACTCCCAAATTTCAAATATAATTACGATGATAGCAGACATCTCCATAATATGCACCGCAAGGAACCGTGCCTTTCCTCCACCAAACATTTTCGCTACATTCTGCTACAGTGAGAAAGATTTATGCATTATTAGATAGACAAAATGTTACCAAAGATTGTCCCAACACCTGCGATAGCCACTGAAGCAGAAAGAGCCATGATGCCTGCCTTCTACTTGTATGATGCTGCCAGCAAACATGGATGGAAAATCAACAGCGAAATGACCAGTGTTGCCACCTCGAGGGATTTATCCCCTTTTGAAGGACTTTTGAGGTTCACGAGGGACAAAGGGACATTTAGTTAGTTTCAAGGGATCTTTTCTTCTGCATGTATAGGTATAAAACTTTGAAATGGATTCAGCATCATTTAGCGATGAAAATTAAAACTGGAGGTGTATTAAGTGCGCTACCTTGTAGAGGTGTAGGAACATAATTAAAGAAACCTTATATAACGAAAACAGAACGAAAACTGTAAGCTGATGATATTCACTGGACGGGGGATTAACATGGAAGTCACACGGCATTTTCATGATCGTGATTTTGTATTCGGAATGTACGCATTCGCCCATTCTCATTCGCATTAACCGCGTTCACCACTTTCCTCTTGCATGTATTCATTCTGGATTGTGGTGATATTTACATAAGACATTATAATGGACGAATCCTCTGATTATGATTCTGAACATCCGGAGCCCCAACAGAAAAATATAAGAGTATTACCAAAATATTTCAGGAAGCTTGGCTGCAGGACCCTCTTCTCAAAATGTGGCTTGCTCCAGATAAACATAATGAGAAAAAATGCAGGTAAATAGTTTGAAATAATAGATTTTATTACTGATTATTATTTATTATTCAAGATGCAAAATTTGTGGTGTGGAACTGGCTGGTGGTAAGAGTGAATTGATCAAGCATTCACTGAGACGAAAGCATGTCAAGAATATGAATGCTGTCAATACATTAAAGCTATTAGTAAATTATTTCGTCGACAAGTCTGAAAAAATACATGTTGAAAATGTGAAAAAGGCGGAAATCAGGCTATCAGTATTTCTCGCTACAATGGCAGTAGATCATTTAGTTCCTCTGCTGAAAACTATTTTTGGAGATTCAAGAGTCTGCACGGACATCGAAAAAAAAAACATGTGTTCATTGGTTAGATACTGCGACCTGAACACAAATAAGGTGGAAACCAATCTCCTGGAATTGATTTCATTGCACCGATTGCAGCGCATCAAAGATTTATGATGCTTTCAAGAATTGTTTTACTAAATACAATATTCCATTGAACAATATTATTGGTGAGAGATTATTATTTATTCTATATTATTATTATCATTTAATATAACCCAGATAATTTTTGGCCATTAAACAAGATTGAATTAGGCGAAGAGTGTGAACTATTTTCAAAATCATTACCTGTGAATGGTCAACAGGAATTTCGAAAAAAATGTTTACCTTTTTACATAACTGCAGCTACTGAAATCTCAAACAGACTTCCGCTGAAGGATACCATTTTCAAATCTATGAAATTTTTAGATCCGATGATCGCTTTCTGCCCATCAAGAATATGAAAACTAATATCAATACTTTAGCTGAAAAATTTTCCAGTTCTATTGACTCAACTTTTATGACAATCGAGTGGCAAAAATTAACAACCCCATTTAATAAAATGGAAATTGAAAATCTGAAAACCATGCCTTTGGATGAAATGTGGCTTCAAATTGGAAAAATGAAAAATTTCAATGACGAATATTTATTCCCCAATTTAGGAAAACTAGCCAATATCGTTTTGACGTTGACTCACTCAAATGCAGAGGCAGAAAGAATTTTTCTCTATGGTGACCGATAATCAATCAAAGAGTAGAAATCGAATGGTAGAAGAAACATTGAATGCTATGTGTGTCATCAGACATTCCACACAAAATCAGTAAACATCGATCTCTTGTTCCATTACCACATCTGAATGCTTTCAATTTCCGACGGATTTTTGATGGAAATAAGGGACATCTCATGCCTCGTCGCGGGACTATTTTTTGAACGCAAGTGGCAACACTGGAAATGACAGCTGAGCAGTCAGCTCCAGTCATATTCCATTGCTGGTTTGGTACCTACAAAAAAGACCTTGGAATGCCATTAGTTAAGCTACTATATTCTCCAAGATGGCGTCGGCTAACCTAGATAGATAGATAGGTAGGATTTTCTTTATCATGAAGATAATACATACATATGAAGGAAATATTACAGGAACCTTGTGAAGATAACAAACGGAAAGGTGATGAAATTAATATTATAATTATAATATGATGAATATGATCAATTAATGAATAGATATACTGAATAGATGATCATACTGATTTCAAAATTTGATCAAAATTTGGTCACTCCTATTAAGACGACAATATGATGGACATAAAAATTTCAAGAATGAGGTCATTTTGTATAGGTTTTTCTATCTTTTATATGTTTGATTAGAGATGATTTGAACTTTATTATAATAGATATGTTTTTGATATCATCAGGTAACGCATTATATTCAATTATACCACGGTAGAACAGACTATTCATCGTACAATTTTTTGACACAGAGTTCACATAATAGTTGTCTCTAGATCTGGTGTTATATGCATGTACATCGGAAACTTCAACTAGATGTGAAAACAAGTACTGAGGCAATATTTCATTAACCATTTTGTTAATGAAGGTCATAGTATTTTTGTAATATGTATCCTTCAAGTTCAACCAGTTGCGTTTATCGAGCATAATCTCTATACTAGTATACCTGTCGCATCCAATAATTATTCTCATAGCGTGATTCTGCGATTTCTGCAGTCTATCTAGATTGACATCAGATGTGTAAATTATGGAGCTACAATAATTGAAATGAGGCCATATAATCGAATCATAGAGGGTAGATTCCGTTTCCATGGAAAGATGCTTATTTATCCTATAAAACACTCCTAACTTTTTACCAATTTTTTTCGATGTATATTGAACGTGTTTGTGTAATTTCAATTGTCTATCTATAATGAGGCCAAGGTATTTTATTTCATCTACATATTCGATATTCACGTTGTTCAATTTTATTTGCACCTAACTGGTGAACTAGCACAAAGCTTCAAGCAAATAGCCTCGATACCCTCCTTCAGCGGGAAAAGAGAAAGGATCTTTGGCAATGACTACTCCAAATATAAAGAGAGAACTGCTCCGAGCACATCAGATGGACTAACTATACAAGGGATAGAGTCAGATCTCACGATAATATTGGGTGGACTGATCGACAAGCTGAAAAAAACCAAGGGAAAACAAGAAGCCGTAACCACTCTCTGATGATATCTGTCAAGATTGTCACGTCTCACATCCCAAGTCCTTCTTCTTGAGATGGTCTTTTGAGCTTCGTGAATCTTGATGAATTTCAAATTATTGAAATATATTTTAAATCATCGTTTAAATTGGGAGTGTTTTTTTATAATCCATCAGAACGTTCATATAGGATAGGTAGTTAGATGAGTATATTATTATTTGTATTGTGTTGTTGAGTGAGTTTACTGTACTTTGTTATCATGGACTGGCGTTGCTGTTATTTGTGCGGATCCAGAAATATGAATGTTCTCTGTACCAAAAGTAAGTAGGAATTATTATTTCAATATATCTGCATATTATTTACATAAATTACTAGAACACTTGCTACCTATCAATATCATGCATGACAACCATCTATTTGAGAATAAAATGAAATGTGAATTCAAAAGTTAGACATACACCAGTTAACAGAAGTTATTATTATTAATACAGGACATGTTGTGCATTTTATCATCAATATATGAGAATGAATTCAATGAAATGAATTTTCTTGGCACCTTCTCCAATCATTATAGGTGATACAATTTATATAAGGAAGGACAGGGCATGAATCTTGATGATTCATTCTAGTCTGTAGAAGAAAAAAGCTCTGCATTTGTTACTCACTTGACTAGGGGCATACCCTTCCCCCTTCCTGCCTTGCTTGAACTCAGATGTGTATATATTTTATATGTTTATCATTTGGAGTGCACGAAGTGCAACTAGAGATTATATATGTTCTTGGGCATACTTCATTTGGCAAAGAATTCCAAAGCTTTGCTGTTCCATAGACAAACAAGTTCTGGTAATTATGTACTGCTTAAGCACTTGAATTTTTTGCCCTGCTCCCCCAATAACTCCATGAAATCATATTCAAAAGTGGATGTAAAAGATGAGTTATAATTCTAGGACAAAGATGAACTACAATTGTGGGCTGATGCCACATCAGTCAACTTACCCCCAAATGGATTTGTGTGTCAGAGAAATTTTTTCAATTATGCCTTTGGGAAAGAGATTGAAAGAAGGGGCCTTACCTTTGGAGATGTTAGTGTTTTACTCCCATTTTGAAGTTTTCTCATTATCAGTTCTCATGATTGGATTTTTTCAATTCTGAAAAAGAAACATTTCAATATTGATCTGAAAACATATTCCATTGCCCTTCATAGTTATTATAAATGAGATTCATCCAGTGTTGAATTTGTTTTATAATTTGAACACAGGGTGACGGTGAATAAGTGCAACAGGGTGAATCCTCTTGATATTTCAGGAAATGAAGTTTCCATGAACATGTATCCTAACTTACCTCGTTTTTTAGGTACAGAATGTTGAAGTTGGATGTGGTATGTTTTTTATGATTCCCCTGTATGAAATTCCATGGGTGACTGAAAGTCCCAAAATTTGAAAAGAGTTCATTGAGTAATCACAATGCGTGTCTTGGGATCACCTACATTAGAATTTGAAATCAATTGGAATCTTTTTTATTTCCTCAAAAACTGATCCAAGTGATAAAAGTTGTTATTATAATTATTTGATCTAATAAAAATATGGAACCCAGAAACACCAGGGGCTCACAATGATAGTCACAATAATTAACAATAGAAAGACATTCAACTTATAATGAAAAAAAAAAAAACGATTTTTTTATTATTAATACCCTGTATCTGAAATTTAAGCCACTTACGACACAGGTTCATAGGACAGTTATTTCCTAAAATATCACAAGGAATCACGCCCTAAAGTACCCTGTACCTCTGTAGTTGGAAGTTATCATTTCAAAATTGAATAATAATGTCAATGGTCCTTCAATTCTTTATGAAAAATGAATAGTTTTTGCAAAAATTCTTGCAAAATTCTTTATTTTCATCCATTTGTTGAATGATATTTGTTGAAATACAAGTTGAAAATATTTCATATGAATGCCAGGTTAACTTCTTTCTTTGATCTTTATTAGCAAGTTCGGTTTGGGATTTTCTCTCCTTTATATAAGATAAAGATATGAGTATTATTTGGTATAAGTCACTGTATTGTATTTTTTATGTTATACTAATATGCATGTGGTGACTTGGGATATTTCATTCATATAAAAGTAAAATGGATGTTTCATTATGTTATTAAAATTATCCTTTTCTTTAGTCTAGTTCAACAAGATTCCGCTTCAATCAGTCCACCTCCCTTTCCCAGCTCTCAAGTAGATCCAGCTGTAAATGAAATTGTTTTTTCTTCATGTTCAATAGAAAAATCCCACCACTATTGCCATTGTAAATCCAGTAAACAATTCAAATGGTATATTTCAAGACCTGAAATCCAGTGCCGAATTGATATTTCCATCTGATTGGGGGATTCATAAATAATTAGAAAACCATATTCCTTTAACGAAAATGTGCATGCAGGATGATTCAACAATTTCGATCAAGAGAATTATAATATTGAGTTCTTCATTCATCATAGCCCTAGTTAGAGAAAAATGTATGAATCTTGAAAATATGATAATCACTGTGGAAGATCCTCAAGAGTTGATTGTTAATATGGATTCATGGAATATGTGCTATGGCAAAAGCAAATCCTGTTCAGTACTTATCCTAGCAGACTACAACTCTTGCAAGGCCTGCACAAGTTATAAATATTTCATGAGAAGACGTCAGGAAAAAGAGCCACAAATTGTCAAGAAAACACATAAATATAATTACACAACCTATCTATAAAAAAACTGCATATTTGAGTAGAGTTGTTGTTAATTTGAGAAAAGAAAATGATAACATGGTCAAACTAGATGAACTTCTCAGTACCACTACCAAAAGTTCAACAAGATATGATCCACAACTGATTAAAATCTGTCAAATGCATATTTACTGGTAGAAGATAGACATTCTTTTTATGTTCTGGTTCCCACAGAAAGGGATATCCTG